GTAATTTTTTTGCAAATAAAATTTATATTAAATATAATTTTTTAAAGATGTACTTTTAAAGATTAATATAATAAAAAAATTACATATATATATATATATATATATAATATAGATAAATATTTTTAAATACTATAATATAGTTATATAGTTCAATCTTATAAATAATATAATATTTTAAGAAAATTAAAAATAACTATTATTCAATAAAAACTAAATGCAACACTCTTATATGAGTTGTATGCATCTTAGGGCAGGTAATAGAATTACTAATGGGCCTGCATTGATTTTATTTATAATCATATTTATTATGCTTGAGACTTAGGAAGCTTAGATCATTACCAAAATGGTTTTTTCTATACATGTAGTTCTTTTTGTTTTTGTTTTTGTTTTTTTTTAAAAATTTTTATTTAAATAATAAGAATTTTATTCGTAGTTAATAGTATTTATAATATTATACTGGTTTTAAAGTGCTTAATTTTTATTTTTATGCATGCAATAAAATAAATTATTTTGCTTAAAAAATAATTGTTAAAATTTTGTATAGAAGTAAAATAAATTAAGCTATCCTTGTGCACATACATTCATACTCATATATAGATAGATAGATAGATAGATAGATAGGTAGATAGATAGTGATTTATGATTTTCTTATAATTTGTACATGAACGAATAAGTTTTTGTAACTTCTTTGATAATACATATATAAGGTATGTTTCTTTATATAAATCATTTTTAACCTTAAGTTTTAAATTAAAAATTATATTAATCTTATATTAATAAAAATGCTTTGATTATCTAGCATTAGTAAGAAAAAAATGCCATAGTAAAGTACTAATTAATACTTATGATATTTATAAAATTATTTTGTTTTCCATCTATGTTACATCTAATGTTTATAATATCAAAGGTTCTTATTTTTTGAATAAAATTAATAAGACAAATGTCCACACATGCCTATTTTTATATCTTAAGGTTATAAAATTAATTACAATTAGAATTTTTTAAATACTTTATGCTATGTAAAAAAAATAAAATAAAAACATAAAAAATATGGCAATTTTTTAAGAAAAAATATTATAAAAATTATACTATTATTTTTAATATCAATTTCTAAATTTTTAAAAATTCATATTTTATTAAAAATTCATGATACAAATATAATCACTTTCTTAATAATGAAAAACTTCTTTGATTTCAAGATAAAAAAACTAAAATAAAAAAAAAAAAAAAAAAAACAAAAAAAACAAAAAACAAAAAACAAAAAAACTATGTAAATTATTTGTTTTAACCTACTTGTATAATTTAATTATTATTACAGATATATTTTATTAATTATTTAAGCATTGTATAATTTAATTTTTTCCTACCTTACAAACATAAGAAAGAATTATTATATATATTTAAGTCACATAGTATTATGAATGAAGGTGCTAATTACATCTTATACATGCAATTATTGTTTTTATATTGTCTTCACAATTTTTGTTTGATACTACAATAGATTCCTATATTACTTCAATAAATAAAAGTAGATAAAAACATATTAAGTAGATAAAATCTTTAAAAAGAAAATTGACACTAATAAGATCTTTAGATTTTTATAGATATGCAATATGGAAATTAAAACTTGTTATTAACTAGTTAAACTAACTAAATGCAGTTTGAAAGAATTGATTCAAAAATGAAACTTATATCAATAGAAACTAGAAATTAGAAGGTAGATTGGAGATACATTTTCCACATAAAAACCAAATATCTTAAAGTTTAGATTAAAGAAAATTAGATCAAGAGAATAAATAGCTACTAGTTATTAAAGTAATACGAGTAACTACCAAGATTGATGGTTGGAAACATGTAGTACAAAGTATAAAGAACTAAAATGATTGTTATTGTTGTTATTGTTTATTTTACATTTCTATACAAGTTGATTGTGAATACAAACTACTTTCTAAATTATTATTTTGTGTCCTCTATTATTCAATTCAAATTAAGTCTTTGTCATCTTTCCACTAAAATTGAGTAAATGCACTCAAATTGAAGCTAGCAGTTAATAAAAAATTCTTCTTCATAGATTTTGACAAGAACTTGTCAACTTTGATACAAAATAATTGTTTTTAGAATTAATAATTGCAAATGGATGTTTGACAAGAGATATATCAATTCATTGAGGATTTAATGAAATAAAAATAAATAAAAATAAATAAAATCTCTCTAAACCAAAACCAAGTTTAGAGAGATCTTTTTGACCTATTGGATTTTAGACCTAATTGCGTTCAAAGTGCCAATAATTTGAATCTTAGACTCAATCAATGATAAGTCTTGATTTTCTTCTTACAATTATGTGTATTACTAACCAGAATAGTATTGTCAATCAATTGACTATCTAATGAATATAACATCTAAGATTAACACTTATTCTATTAGTTTTTTTACTTTTAAAAAACCATATTAAAAACAACCTCCAACTTGATGCTTAGGCCCCAAGCTTCTTGGCTTATAAAACACTTTAAGATCTTTTTGGTAGTTAGTATATATAGAGGCAAAAGATATGCCATACTCTATCTTATCAATGCCTCTTTTATATTCTAATCTTGGTTTAAAACTCTCTAATTTCTTTATAATTAGTAATAGATGTTTTAGTTTTTTTCCTATTTTATAATTATGTCATCTTTACTTACATTCTTCTTTATAATAATAAAATCATATATTGTCTTTTTTTACTTTTATCTAGATTTGTATCCTTGGTGGATAATTAATTTATTGTTATACTTTATATTATATTTTTTATTTTTATTTTGTCAACACTTATTATAAATTGAATAGAAATTTGATATTGATGGCAATTGCTACCACCTTGTTGCATTTATTTTGTACTTTAAATATACTTTTTTAAGTTTAAAAAATATAAAATATTTATTTTTTTATTAACAAATAACTATAGTACATCATTTTGCAAATAACTAAAGTCATGAACATTTGTAGTCACTTCTACCATTACATTATTGTTTTAGCTTTTATACAACTTTATTGACCAAAATTATGAAAGCTTTATTCATATTTTAAATAGAATTGATTGATCTAAATTAAAACATTTTTTTACCTATTAGACAATATTTTTCTTTGGTCTATTGTTTTTCTTAAATAGATCATTAATTAGCAATAAAGATTTTATTTAGTTGTATGCTATATAATATGTACAATTTTCAACAATGTTGTTGTTCATCAAAGATTTGCCAAAAAAAATGGAGTCAATTTTTTTTTTAAAAAAAATTATAAATATATATATATATATATATATATATATATATTATGAACAATTATAGTATTAATGATTGTTAACAAAATATTTATAAATAATAAATAGTAACAATTTTCATTGGAAAAAAGATAAAATTCTAAAACCAAAGAGAAATGAGCTGTGAAGAATTTAATATCTAGATTAGACATTAGAAAGGACGATTTTAGAGTCAGGCACGGCATCGCAACTTTCTTCTTGGTTGTGGTGGAGGCGATTATCGCGGTTCCGTGGCGGAGAGGATGGCGATGGCGCGATGCTCGTGGACCTGCAAGGATTCGTGCAAAATGGGCTTCAGGCTGCGAGCTTTGACATGAGAAGCAGGCCGAGGAAATTGGCGAAGCCGAGCGCCACAACTGTATGCGAGGCATGGGTTGTTGCTTTTCAGGTGCTGCTGATTCGGGGTCGTGATTGAGAGAAGCTGCAGCGTCTCTGATCGCAGAGGCGCGCAGCTTGAACACAGATGAGAGGATGTTTGTGGGTTTGTTGTTGGTTTTGGGTTTGGGCGTACGCTGCCGTGTTTCAGAAAGGGGAATGCAACGACAGGGATGGTACTTGGGTGGTGGTGACCTAGATCACCGGATAGTCATGTGATCGGATTCTTTGGTTTTGGGTTCGGTGCGGATTTCGAGAGCTGGCCTGAAATTCGCACTAACGACGCTCTCAGCACGTGTTGATGAATCCTCTGTATGTGGAAACCTCCTTCCACAGAACCCTGCGATTCTGCCCACAGGTCACCCCATCATAGTGTGTCTGGGCACGGCGATGGCAGCCGCGCCATGCCTTCTGATGCGTCAGATTACAGTGACGAGCAGATCGGTGTTCCATGCTGCAGGCTTACAATGGAATATGTGCCAGTCTCGTTGTTGAGTCGTTTGTCGTGAAGCTGCGTGAGTGAAACTGATGAATGGAAACGTCATGCCTGCAAAACGGCGCAGGAGAGTTGGACAGTAATCGCCAATTGGGGGGTTCGTTAGATTATGTCTTTGCTGTTGGATTATGACTAGGCTGGCTCAATTGGCTGAATTTGTTGCTCCGACTCAGCATCGAAAGACTCCTCAAATATCGAATTATTGTTTTGGATCCAGTTTCTTTTAGCTTAAACAATAAAGTCAGGTTTCAGGGGGTATTTCCACGGAGTATTCAATCACTTCATGCGCTGAGTGAGGAATCTCCGTGTCGTGTATACGATCGGTTTGGTTGTTGTTGGACTTGATCGCTGAAGCTGCATTCTACAGTCGTTAGTGAGGACATCGTCATGCTAGGGACTGAATCTCTCTCGTCAATATTATTCCAGTGATTTTCAAGTATCATCTGATTATCACGGAATTGCAATTTATGGCTTTCATTCATAGAACAGCTGAGTAGAACAATCAATGAGATCGTAATTCATGTTGATACCGTGTATTATAGGTCTGTGTATTTTGATTGGCGGGAGTGCAATTTCTTAAGCATGAATTCGTAATTTGTTCAACAGGAAAGTGGAGAATGCAGGTACAGATACTTTTACAATTGTAGTCGGTAGCAGCATTTTGAAAGTCTGTTCTCCAGTTTCATCTGCTTTGGAGCCGGTTAAATTCGCGAGGAAATTTTAGTTCTCACTTGTCATGCATTATCGTATGAAATAGCCAGTCACATTTTTCAAGAGAAATTATTGGAAATTTTGAGAAAACACACACGATTTCAACTTGCACTACAATAAAGATTCATGAATTTGACAGCGCCAGAATGCATTTATTTATTTATTAAAATTTACGTAAAATCAAAGGAGACTGGCGATCTCACCAACGACTGCGGTGAGAGTGTTCACATAAAATCACAGATTATGCCAGTTATACAACTAATGAAAAGTAGCAGGCGTGAAGTATGAAGCAAACAGGAACCATGAGAAGCTTGATGTTTTCTGCAATTCCGAACTGAAATTTAGATCATAGATATGATGAATCCGGAAGTGGGAAGCCAGTTTCGCTGCATGATTCTGTTCAGTATTCTTGAATCGACTACATGGACAGGCTCCATGCACGAATCGATCTTAATAGAGGTAACGTCCCCATAAGCCCAAACATAACCGCACGATGACTACGATAGAGACACATCACTCCGAAGCCACATTGCGCAAGCCTTCTACTCCGTGCTGGGGGACACCTTCAGCACAACCAATTTATCACACGCCAGGAGAGAATTAGAATACACGAACAAAATCCCATCTCCTCAGTTTGCACCATAAAACAGAAAAAAATGAGATTGGCACTACGAAAAGAGGTAGAGCCACAACTCGGGGATTACACATGGACAAAAAAAACCCTGTAAGAACCTCGATTCTCCGGTCCTCCATGCTCTTATGATTTGTGTACCAATGAACTCCTTCAGACCAACTTCGCATCAACGTGAGCGTGGTGGTTTGGAGGAACGCACTGGTACGAAAATGATTGTAGCAAGTTTTTTCACGCTCGCCGCCAGATTCACACTACCACGATTCAACACTCACAACAACAAACAAAAGAAAAAACAAAAACAAAAAACCACATTCTTTCTCGTCGAATTTCATCCATCGTCATGACTGACAAATCATATCACCTCCTGCAAAATGCTATGCAAAAAAAATGAAATTAATAAATAATAAATATAGGAAACAACTCCAATCTAATGAAGCTGATACGAAACCACCCACAGCACTTCATTCCACTACAACATTCAAAAAACTGCTTGGAAGCTGATGAAAGGTGGGCACTCCAACATGAGCAACAAACAACAAGCAAAGGAAAGTTGCGGAGTGCAACGGAGCAGTAATGAGAAGGTGAAAAGCTGAGTGCTTTTATAGCCCCCCTATGGCTTGCTTCATTCTGCCAGGCGGTGCAGCAACATTGAGGTCATGAAGTCATTGGCTGTGAGCACACAGACCAATCATCGGCTGCATCATCCAAATGAGCCGGCTGACTGGCTGGCTGGCTCTCCTTTCGACGTGGGTAAGCGCAGGCTAAGCTAAAGCTAAAGCTAGTCTAGCTCTACGCATACGCAAACACCCCACAAAACAACATCGCAAAACAACCATATCCTGGAAACACGATTCCCTGGTTGAGTGGTGTTTTTTTCAGTTTCAGTTTTGCTATCTGCACACAGCCAGCCATTTGCAGAGCCGATGGGGTTGTTGGTGCCAAATCCTTCCTCCTGGCTGGATAGTCTGCTCTCCCATCTCATTGTACATTGTTATCGTGTCTTACATACTCTTGCTTTTCTTACTTGATTTCTACATGGTATCAGAAAATAGATCTTGTATGATGTTACTATGTGCACTTTTGTGTCCATTTGTTCTTACTTGTTTATATAAGGTATCAGAAAATAGAACTTGTATGATGTTACTATGTGCACTTTTGTGTTTATATGTTCTTACTTGATTCTAGAAGGTATTGGAAGATTCACAATAATGTTAATACGTGCATATTTGTAAACACAAGTTTTTGTTTTATCATGTGTGTTTGAAATAGGATGTGTGTGCATATTTGTATGTGTATGTTCTTATGTTATACTTTGTGGAATTAGAAATAGATCTAAGATGTTAGTATATATATATATATATATATATATATTCTTACTTGATGTTATGTGGTATTAGAAGTAGATTTAGAATAATATTAATATGCACATGCTTGTAGTCCTTGGCTTAAAAAGAATTAAATTTTGTTTTATGATGTTTTTTTAAAAATTTTAAATTAAATTTTGATATTATTTTTGATAGAAAATTGAGAAGATTTAAAACAATGAATATACCTTGAATGTTTTAAAACAATGAATATGAGTGAAAATTGATTAGACCTTGATTCTAAAAGTTTGTTAATTAATGAGAATAGAAAATTTAAAAATACTGGATTTTGAAATTAAATAATTTTGCAAAGTGATGGTATGTGTGAGGGTTTTAAATATTTTTTTAATTATTTCCATCTTTGACTATTAAAATAAATAAGACATAAAAGTAATATATGCAATTAATAGCATTGTAAGGAAGCATGAAGATGAAGTCACTTAAAATATATTAAGACTAATATGATTATTAATATTTTTAAATTAGATATTATTTGATGATGATTTTCGATAGATGATTTTGATTCATAAATATTGTATTTTTTCTAAAGATAAAAACATGAACAGAAATTTTTTAACATAAAATTTATATATCTATTTCTAAAATTTGAATCATAATCTATTTTCAAAAGATTTCTATTAAAATATTTATTATTAAAAATAATAAATTAAATAATTTTTATTTCATTTCATTTTAGAATATCATTTTATATGGAGAATATAAACTAAAAATACTAAAAAAATAAAGTAAAATAAAATAAATCCTTATTACAAAAGAATATAAAACAATTAAAATAGAAGAGAATAAATTTAAAAAACAATTCTCAAAATTTATGTTTTTTTGCCAAAATCAACAATGCTGATATTCTACTAATATTATTTTTTAAAATTACATCATTAAAAATAATCATATCAACTAAATAAAATAGTAAATAGATCATATTAATCATATTCTTATAGACCAAGAAAATTTAGATAAAAATCCATCAAAACTTAATCTCAGATTATTATTAAACATGTTTAAAAAATTAAATTAAGAATATAGAAAAATATATGTAAACACAATAAAAAAAAATAGAAAAAAATTCACCATAAATTAAGAATATAATACACATGCCTTCGAATCTAAGTTTAAAATAGAAGATGTAGAATTAATATAGCAACTAATAGACATTGATCAAAGATACCTCAACCAATAATATAAAATACAAATAAAAATAATAATTTCTATATATAAAATATCAAATAACAACTTAATCATCTACAATTAACTAAAATAAAATTAAAAAATTAATAAAGAAATCAGGTTCTAAATATTATTAAAAAAAAAAATCTTCAATTATAAGAAGTTTTCTAAAAAATCTTTTAAAAAAATTATTTAAAATATGCTAAATATTTAAAGTTGTACCTTAACAAATTATCTTCACATCAAGTACAATAAGATGAAAGCTTAGTTTAGGAAATTTAAAGAAATTTCATGCAATTACATGAATATGTATTTAAAAATCTAATTATTTAAATCAAAAAATAAAAATTAAATATACTTTTTGATATTTAAGAGACTCACATCTATATGCACAAGTCTATATTAATTAAATCTAATAAAAAAGGATTCTAATTTTTTCAAAAAAATTATATTATTATATTTAAAATATATTCTCATATTTAAACATATTAAAATTTTAAAATTTGTGTATTAATACTACCTAAAAATATACAAAAAAAATACTTAGCTTTAGTGCTAGAAATTAAAAAATAATATATTAAAAAACTAAATAATAATGTTTATATAAAAGAAAAATTAACCAATTTATATTAAACATTTATAATCCAATCTTATTATGAGATGAATTTATTTTTGTAATATTGATTTATTGCATGTAACTTATATATATATATATATATATATATATATATATATATATATATTTTTTAAATAATTAGAATTATATTTATGTATACATATATATATATATAATATTAAAATAAAAACAAAAAATAACAAGACTTAAAGTATTTTTAAACTTCTTGATTAAACTAAAAGTCTTGAGTTTCATAGTAAAAAATTCTATATTATGTAATAGATGAAGTTTTTATATAAAAAAGAATAAGATAATAGAAATTTTATTTATGTACTAATTAAAAATTTATTATCAAAAATATTTTTCAACTTGTTTAAGGATTAGTTGACAAATCTAATTAGTTACTTTATTCCTCCTTTTAAAGTCTACTTTTTTTTCTTCCACTTTCAGTATTCTTTTTAATTAACTCAGTTCTTCTTCTTTATCAACAACTTATTCTTTTGTACAATTTCTAATTTAAATAATTTTTATCTTTTTTTATTTTTTTTATTTTTTTGGATCTTTGATACCACATTGAACTCTTTTTTTATATATTCTTTTTTAATTATTCTTTCTTAATTTCTTTACATTTATTTTGATCTAATTTAATCACATTTAATTTTATTAAATTTGTAATTCTTCTCTTTCACTAATACATTGTTGCTCCTATATTGTAATTAGTTATCAATTCGTACAAACTTCTTCAAATATATTTTGTACATAACTATAGTTAGATATCATCATTAAGAAAACTTCTTGTACTTTACTTATTGAATATTTTTTTATTAAGTAATATAATAGATTTTCATAAAATTCTTTTCATATACTACCAATTATACATTGTTCTAAATCCTAGATCAATTATTGTCAAGGATATGAATCTTGAAAAAAAAAAAAAAAAAAAAAAAAAAAAAAATCTAAATTCACTCTGGTATCATTGAAGAGAATTAGAAAGTCACTCAAAGATGATATAATATTAAACTAGAATGGCTATTGCCAAAAATAAGAAGACTAAAAAGTCTTGAAACAAGACTAAAGACTAGAAAGGCATTGACAAGAATAAAGAAGGTATCATTCTTACCTCCATATATATTCTTAACTAGGAACTACATGGCGATATTCTAGAAGACCTCCAACATGTGTTGACTTTACTAACAACATGTCTTAACTTGCAAGACAAGTTATCTATGTATGCGCCACATAGTTCGATATTTCACA